ATGCCCAGTTGGGCGATGTACATATATAACCAAGGATCCGCAATGTGATGAAAAGGACTGAATGGACAATGCAGTGCTAGTGGAATCTCAACAAGCAGTGTACATCCTGATACATACAAAAATGGTGCTTTGCAGCACAGTGGAAGACTTAGATATAAGTCCTGACCTGACCGGGACTGACCTCTATCACATAGTGCAAGACAGCGCAGCAGAATGCTAGAATACCAATGACTAGCCCAATCAATGTCGCAACGCAGACCAAACTTACATCATCCTCATCACAAGGTGTGAAGGGGCCTGGCGCTACACACAGGAAGAATGTGCCAGGTCCAGATCATGCACAGACGAAGAGGAGGGAATCAGACGAAGAAGAGGGGGGGAGATGGGAATGTCGTCAACACCAAGTCTTCGTTACAAGTCCCAAATAATCCCTCGTCAAAATGTCTGAAGCCCAATGTCGAGTCCGGATCCAAATGTCACCAATCCCGCTCTCTCGTAGTCTGCTAATGCAGTGAAGTCAGGTAGCTAGAGGGTGAGAGGAAGATGGTGGACTGAGAAAAGGAAGAAGAAGAACTCTCTCTCTCTCCCATGTGCCAGGTACTAACCTGTGAAGATGGCGCTGTGCTGCAGGTACCTCGAAGACGAAGCTGGAGCTATGGCGCTGCAGGTAAGTCTCGCTGGCCTCCGCCCAATCTCTCTCTCTCTCTCCAGTACTACTCTAGCTCCTACTAGTGCCCAGCGCTGAAGACTACTGCTAACCCTACTACTACAACTGCGGCGCTCCTTCAGAGTGCTGCTGCCGAATCCTGAAGACTACCTCCTGCCTCCTGAACTGCACGTGAAGTGCCTGGGAAGTCCCTATGACCTACCTGCAGCCTGCAGGGCGGGCCAGTCTTATATAGTGCTGGCCCATCCAGGAGGCTGCTCTTGCCAATGCCAAAACGTGCCAGACCCTGGGGTTGAAGCTCAAACAAAGGTCGTCTTGAAAATAGGCCAAAAATGGCCTGAGCTAAAACCCTGGTTTGGTGCCTACGTTTCAGGGCAGGTCGATCTTATGAGGGCCTGAAAATGGCCCTCCGTTTCAGGCTGAAAAGACTCAGGGCCTGGAGGGCCCTGTTTTAGGCTGAAACGACACAGGGCCTGTACACCCTTGTTTTCAGGCTTTCAGGCTGAAAACAACACGGGGCCTGTAGGCCCTTGTTTTCGGGTTGTCAGGCTGAAAACAGCACGGGACCTGTAGGCCCTTGTTTTCAGGATTTCAGGCTGAAAACAACACGGGCCTGAAAATGGCCCGTGCAGCCTGTTGCAGGCGCATCATGTAGCACAGTCTCTCTCTCTCTCTCTCTCTCTCTCTCTCTCTCTCTCTCTCTCTCTCTCTCTCTCTCTCTCTCTCTCTCT